GCGCGCCCCTGTGCCCCCAACAGCCAGGAGACCTACTACGGCTCTGCGGGAGCTTTCAGGCAAGTGTCTGTCCATCGCGTTGCTCCTCGGACCAGCCTCGCGAACCTAGCTTTCCACTCTTCTCCTCGCGCTAGCCCAAGTCCGCCTGTCTGAGCGACAGGACCTGTGGGAACTCGCTTGCAGATGTCCTCGTGGCCCCACACCGTCAAGCCCAGCGCCCCTGGAGAGCCCTTCTCCTGGGGACCCAGGTGACCTCGGCAGCTGAGATGGGCAAGGGTGACAGGCACAGTGTCACAATCATGCGTCTCGTCTTCTTCCTTCGGTGAGGTCGTGGACAGGTCCTGGCTTTGTTCTGGGCCTCAGTTGAAAATCAAAGGCGGGACACTGGACATGGGCTCTTTACACCAGACTGGTGAGGAGTGTTTTGAAAACAGGTCCTCCTGGTCTCCTCCTGGAGCCTTCTGAACCAGGAATGGATTTGTGCACCCCAGGGAGAAATATTTACCGAGCATCTTTAACACGTGGCTCGGTTGGAAGACTGAGTGTTCTATCTCCATTTAGCGTTACAGTAGTCTCAGAAGCTCACAGAGAGCAGTTCTACTAGGTCCTCCAGGGCGGTAAGCTCATTGAAGCCCAGGCAACGGGACAGGAGAAATTGTGTTTGCAGGAAGAGGGTCTGTGCAGCTGGAGCCTCAGAGCCTGAGGGGTTTTAGACGGGCCTGGAGGCTGGGGTGGTGGCAGTGGTCACATCTTGGTCCCTAGTGGGCCGGTGAGGAGGGGCATTTCTTTCCAAGGGAGACTGGAGATGTGAAGCAGCAGGGCCAGGGGATGCGGAGCAGGGCTTACAATAATCTCTCTGGAAGTCATCAGGACAGTACAAGGAGACAGGAGGGAAAGTAGAGAGGCCAGATAACCTTTCTTCAACTGAGAATCTGCTCTACAAGGCTCTAGAAAGGACCCTTTATTTATAGACACCAGTGTATCTCGCTGCCCACTGCTCTGCCCTAACTCTCTCTAAAGCCTTGTCTTTTGCGTGGGTCATGGATATTATGTGTTTTCAGAGATCTCGCTACAACAATCTATGCCAAATGTTAAGCTTCAGCTAAAAATAATTGGACTTTTCTTTGCATTGTTTTTCTTTTATTAAAAGGTCATTTTATGAGGAGCTCTTACAACTCTTATTACAATCCATACATCAACTGTATCGAGCACATTTGTACAGATGTTGCCATCATTCCTTTCTAGACATTTACTTTCAATTGAGCCCTTGGTAGCAGTTCCTCTTTTTTCCCTCCCTCCCCACCCTCTTTGCATGTTTTGGCACTGAGTCCCAGTTCATTCCGGTGCTACCGAGATAGGACCAGAGAAGACCTAGACTTCTCTGAGTTCTACCGAGGACCACACTTTCTGTCCTCCGGGGTGAACACGGGCACACCGAGAACAGTCTCAGCACCGCACATCTTAGAGACCCAGGGCCTGCTGCCCGCTGTCTCATTTCCTCTGGTCTTTCAGCTCCCACAGCTCTTCACCCCCACCGACCTGCAATCCAGCATCCTAAACACTCCCCCCGTCTGTCTGACCCTCACCCACTCCACCGCCTGCGCAGCGTGCTTCCCTGCTGACCCACGGCACATTCCCTGCCCATCATGAAAAGTACTCCCCTGAACATAGCCTTAAATGCCTCGCCTCCTTTCCTGGATAGCGTGCAATCTTGAGGAAATCTAACATTTCACCTACTTGTTGACTAGCCTCCATTGAAAGCAATTACTACAGATAGGAACTGAAAATACAGGGAATCCAGG